CCGCCAAGCAACACATTCTGTTCAACTGTGCTTAGTCTGGGAAGCCGAAAGAATTCCCTATACGCCATGAAACTGGAAGGGCCTGATGTGCCACTGCCCTTTGTGTAAAGGTTTGCCGTAGCACTGCGTTCAAAATACTCTGCAGATCAATGCACACATTTATTCAGCAACGCACACCATATGGATGACGTAAAGCGGGATATTGACCCTAATGGGCTAATCAAAAACCCTCCTGTAATAGCCGGATTATCCGTGAAATTGAAAAAAGGGTGAGAAAGTTCATCATCTCACTAGAGCTGATAGACCGCTCTTGAAATGTTTCCCTTTACTAGAAATCCTCCGCAGTATCATAGCTACATTACCCGAACAACATATCGGACGCGAATGACACAAAGTATGCCATATAAATTATATACTTGCACGCACAGAGAACGTTTCGTCGGTGCCGCACACACGGTGACCGTATCGCGCAGACCTCTTTGGGCTCCGAAACCAATTAATGGGTTGGCTATCATTGTATGTAAATGGTCCCGCTAAACTAGTCACCTTATGCGACTACTGCTCTTCCCCGTTTTCTATTACCAGAGGGAGTAACCAAGGATGTGCGCTCGATACATTAAGGTCACTTATTTGTGTCAATGATAGCAGTTCGGTTAATAAATGTGGCATGCCTTATTCATTTTTAGTGACATAACATTTGTCCCCAAGTACAGAGAAGCTGCGCTTCTAGATGTGCTACCAATCCTTCAAACGTACATTCATGCGTCTGAGAATTGGTGCGACTGGTGGATGATGATATTTTAGGCACACCTGGCAAGTACCACATGCCGCGGTCGCTTGCCACTCGAAAGTCTGTAATATGTAACAGCGTGCGCATCAGTGTAGAACGGTATACCCGTGACCACAGAAGCAGATATCCTTGTACCCTTAGGTTCTTAGAACCGATGGAGTGCCAGATAACACGAGCTAGACAATCCTTTGCTAAAATCTCTTATGACTGCATACAATCACAGCTACAGTTGAAGTATTTAAACTCAATAATCGTTTTATCCTGGCGTATGGCAGCGTAACCAGAAGCAATATGAGGAACTCAAACAGCACGTTGATAGAAAGCCCTGAACTGCATTTTACTAATTGATTATTGGGAAACAATCATATCATTAACTCTTGGAAACAATGCCAGCAACTGCGGCTTGATCAGCTTCGGTAGCGAGGAGTAAAACTTATCTATAGTTTGCTGCACAACCTGATTCAGGTCCCTACCCATTGCAATCGATTCACCTTAACATTTAAGTAAACTTACCCGCGAGACATAGGTAACAAGGACCTTATCTTGTTTAAAGCGCTGGGCAAGACAAATTGGTAAGCTAGCTATAGTCGATCCATATATGGCTGGTTGCGGAATCGGTCACCATTCATTAGCAGGTCCTGTGTGCGTATGCAGTCCCTCTGAAGTGTGTTGGGAGCTACTTCTACCTGGACACCACTATGTCGCTCCTTTCGTGGAAATGGTCATTTGGACATCCAATCAATTAAATCCCAGATGACGCCTAATAGGTGTAATATCTCCAATTCTCGCAGTGCAATATGTCTTTGGTGCCTACAACGTAATCAAACTGCGAATGTGCCGCTACCAGCACATAAGCTGAAAATATGAGGCAAATACCTTGCCAGATATGCCGACAACTCTAAGCGGAAATCTTGATATTACCTCGAATTATCAATACCTAACTTGTGCGGGAATGTACCGCGCCAAATATTTTCGCAGCGTATTAGTTGCTAAGAATTACGCTTAGTATGATTATTATTATTACTATTATTATTGTTGCCTTCAACTAAAATTGTTTTGAATCATGCCAACACTGTGCTGGAAAATAAATTCGCCAATGGTATTGAGCACAATGGTCCGTGCACATGGCTGCGCTCGAGACATTTTGGCTGCTAGGAAAACGATGGAAAGCTGGCACAGGGAAACCGGTTACCCGTGGTTCGGCATATCAAACAATGGTAACGCTTCCCGAGAAAAGAGCTGTTCAATTATTGCTGACGTGGAACGTGCAAACACCTCATGTTAGGTGGAACGGCTGCAGCCTGAAGTATGGTTGGATAACCCTAGAATGGACGCTCTTATACCCGTCTGCTGGCTAGCCGAACAACCTCCTGGTGGTGTCAGCTGTGTGGTTCGGGTTTAATCCGTTCCAGCAAATAGTTCGGTGGCAGTGTTCCACGACGTGGTGGGTTTCGCCTGGCAAGCGTTCTCCCTATAAATAGCCACAAATGTTTGCTTAACAACAGTGTGACGTGGCGGTCGTGACTCGCCACAAACTAAAGTCACTGCCCCGTGAATATCCGGGTAATTCTATCCAACCCACGGACACCAATCTCCTACTCGCATATTGATGACGATATCAAACATTGAAAATTGGAGCAGCCCAACTACAAGCACAAAATAAACAGCTACCTACACATACACACACAATGACATACATGCATACCCCCTAGACAAACACAAACTGCAATGGCAAACATCGGATTTTTGCACGTTATTGATCATGCATCTTTATGTCAAATTGATCATGCCTGTAAAGGCGGGCCTCACCTTGTTGAGAATAAAAGATTTATTTATTTATTTATTTAATAGCCAAGTGTTAACCTCCTCGGGAGCATAACTGTCCCATATTGACACCTGAATCTAGCACTGTCGATGCATCCAGGGAGTCCCACTGGTAAATAAATAAATAAATAAATAAATAGGTATATTTCTAGACCTGCTAGAGGCTGCACCCTAAAGGGTTCAGATCAATGCTTACATTTATCCGATGCTCTTGCATGGAAGTTGGCAAAATATATGTTCATCGTTAGCAATTGCAAATGCTTTGGCACTGTTTAGTATACAGCTACTGGGTCGCAGGCGCCCACCTTGACATTTTTCTGGTTCCTACGGGCGATATTGAGCTCCTTGTATTTCATTGGGAATACTTCGCGGAGGTGTAGTTTGCCTTTTCTCCTTGAAACAGAATCCAATTTGCCACAAGTTCACTTTAAATGGATCGCACAATAATTGGCCACTCAGTTGCCCCAATTGTTGTTGCGCACATAGAAGAAATGAATGAAGGAATTATAAGGCATACGAAAAGTAAAAACAATTCCGAAAATGCAGACATAAATAGAAGCAATTTGTTAAGAGAGAAAATAAATCTGCGTGCTTCAGTAGAAAAATACCCATTAACAAAAAAAATATAGCCCTGCTTTTATTACGCTGATATTGCTCTCCGGCGCAAAATTCCAACCTGAGTTATTCTCAGATAAAAGAAAAAGCCCTTCTACAGTTAGAATACCGCTTAAAGTAGCACAAAATTACACTGGTCTGGACCAGCTTTAGCGCCTGAATACGATGAATGTAAAAGCAACACCATGCGTGCAGTAGTTTGCGAGTTATTCGCAATTAAATGATGGTCTACGAATAAGGCCATTTTTATTTTTCGCTAAAAATCGCTTTCTGCTTTGCAAGCAGATAGCAGAAAAAAGAAAAAAAATATAAAAAGTAGGGAAGCGGTGTATGTTCTAGATAGGCATAGCTATCCAGAAATGCTCTAATTAGCCCGTAATACCCTGCGACAACTAAGGACTGCGCAGGTGGCCGAAAAGTAAACTTTGCAGGCAAGCATGAAAAATATATGCAATCAAGGGATGAGCTTGCTCGAAAACGCTAGAAATCCAGCAAGGAATATTATATCTACAAGGGAATTCAGTGGAGCTTGTAATTAACTCACGGTTAGAAGGCCACAGCATACAATTTTCAGGGGATACTGAGCCACATAAACAACCAGTAAAATAGAGTTTAGAATTTTTTAAGCCTCTAAGCTTTTCTAAAGCTTACAGCAAGGCCGCATGAGCCAGTTCTACCTGAGTAACTCAGGGGATCTTTCAGATCCGTTGACAGATTTCGGACTGCAAAATACACACATTACTTAGCTAAACATCACAAGATTTATCCCTTAGAGCCGATTTTCTATATTAATGAGGCTCTGTATCTAACATCAGTGAGCTATAGGAGCCTGTCACTAATAATAAAGAAATGAGCATGGGAAAATTTAGTAAAATTTAGCTAATTGCATTTGGGCGTGAAATCCGTTTTGGTCTACATTGGTTGGGCTTTAACAACTCTACTTCTGGTGGTTGAGCTTGCTTATACTTGAGGTATTGTTATGCCTCATGTGTAGATGCACACTATTGTGCAGTTCTTTGATGAATTTCGATTTATTTCTCTCCATTTTTAAGTTCCGAAGATAGTGCCGGCGGTGTTCATCCAGATGGCAATGTTACCTGGCACTCTAATGTCACACCGACTATTTCTTTTGTGATTTTCCTGGCAAGAGCTGTTCTAGCACCCTAGGCAAAGAGCGATAAGGTAAATCAGGAGTAGAATAGTAACAAAAACCAGTGGGAGCTGGTCGTTCACCCGCCATTACGCATAACGCATGTGTAGCGACCTGGAGATTCCCCCGTATGACTGTGTAAACTATTCTAAAATACATTCAAATTATAGCTTTCTTATGTATTAGGGAACTAGGCGGTTTGCCTGTTGGAACGTTGTTCCCGTTTGTTGAAAACACGAACGCCATCTCCGCCTTTGGCGCGCGCGACTCGATTGCGAACGACGCTCTGTCAACGCACTCGACGCCATCGACATTCTCCCTAGCTAGCTCTCTCCGGGTGCCCTATTTTTAGCATTAGCTAACGCTCCTCCCGTCCAATAAACTTTTCCCTAGCTTACTGTTGTGTCTTCTATCCATTATTTTTGGTTGGCCGTCTAGTCGCGTACCGGATATATAGCGCACGATCTACGCGCTATAATTGGTGACCCCGAAAAAAAAACTATTTTTGGTGAGTTCGGTACTAATATTTTTTTTCAGATCCGGTTATTTATTCTGTCTACCTTTCTACTTTTTCTCTTTACTATTTGTGTTCACATTCACACGCTCCGGAATTATTTCACCATGAAGGTCAGTCGCCCAGATTCTGACGATCAGGTTTGTGGGTTCCGTTTCCCTCTCCCGCCTTTCCGAGAGACTAACCCTAAGGCCTGGTTTAACCAGCTAGAGTCCATTTTTTCGTTACATGGCGTTAACTCTGACAGCGTCAAATTTCACTGCGTTGTCGCCGCGCTTCCCCCGCAAGTCGTCGATGACCTCGACGACATCTTGGAACTTCCGGAACATCAGAAAAGTTACGATGAGCTTAAGGCCGTCGTCTTAAAGCGATTTGGCATATCAGACCATGCTCGCGTCACGCAGCTTCTTAATGAAACCGAGCTAGGGGATCGAAAGCCTTCGCAGTTGCTGCACAAGATGCAAGCTCTAGCTAAGCCTCTCGCTGTTGGCGACTCTTTCCTTAAAGAGATGTGGCTTCGTTGCCTGCCACGTGACATGCGCAATCCCTTGTATGCAAACGATGCGCCTCTTCCTCAGCTCGCCGATATTGCCGACCGTATTTGGGAATCCAACGCCCAAATATCTCAGGTTCAGTCTACCTCCAGTACAGAGGTAGCAGAACTAAGAGCGCAAGTATCCGCATTGACCAACCGACTAGAGAAGCTAACACAATCCGGATCCAACCGCCGAAATCGTCCCAGTAGTCGCAGTCCTCCTAGATCACGTTCGAAATCTCCCCCTAGGTCAAGCTATTGCTGGTACCACGAGCGATTTGGTCATCAGGCCAGATCGTGTCGCCCACCTTGTTCTTTCAAGCGCAACATGCAGGGAAACGGGTAGGCCAGCACGTAGGGGCGACGGACGTTGCTGGCTGCCCCAGTCGCCTTTTCTTTGTCACCGATCGCAGTACGGGAGTACGCTATCTCGTTGACACCGGCGCAGAAGTCAGCGTTATCCCACGTGATTCTAATGACGTTATCGAAGAGGCGACCGGTTCTTTGCGCGCTGCAAACGGCACCACCATTCGCGTGTATGGTCAACGCTCGCGCACGCTTAATCTAAACCTACGACGTTCATTTAAATGGATCTTCCTCGTCGCAGATGTCCAGACGCCAATTCTTGGCCTTGACTTTCTGCAGCACTTCGATTTACTTGTTGACGCGAAGCAACGCCGTCTGATCGACCGTCAAACAAACCTGGCAGTTATAGGTACTTTGACCGACATAGAGTCAATCAGTCCTGTATACGCCAACCTGTCAAGCTCGCCTATCGGTCAGATGCTTAATACGAAGTTCCCGCAAGTCTTTCGTGCAATGACACCGTTTTCATCCGCCACTGAGGCCGCGAAACATTATATCGTCACGAAAGGTCCGCCTGTTTTTGCCAAAGCCAGGCGAATGACCCCTGACAAGTTGAAAATTGCTCGCGCAGAATTCGAGCACATGCTTGAACTAGGCATCGTTCGCCCGTCTAACAGTCCCTGGGCGTCGCCGCTCCACATGGTGCCCAAAAAGTCAGGAGACTGGCGTCCATGTGGTGATTACCGCGCGCTCAATAACGTTACTGTTCCCGACCGATATCCGATTCCTCACATTCAGGACATCACGGCAAGCCTGCGCGGCACCCGTGTGTTCTCAAAAATCGATCTGGTTCGCGCGTATCACCAGATTCCAGTCGCTGAGGAAGACATACCGAAGACTGCCGTAATCACGCCTTTCGGGCTGTTCGAATTTTTGCGTATGCCGTTCGGTCTTCGCAACGCAGCCCAGACTTTTCAACGACTCATCGATTCAGTCACTAGAGGTCTAAATTTCGTCTATGCATACATCGACGATATCCTAGTTGCCAGCGCCTCTGAAGAACAGCACGCAGAACATCTCAAAATACTTTTCGATAGGCTGGCCGCTAATAGCATCACTGTCAACCCCGACAAATGCGTATTTCAGCAGCCTTCCATCGAATTCCTTGGCCACCATATTGATCAGTATGGCATACGGCCTCTAGACGATAGAGTCCGCGCCATCAGAGACTTTCCGGTTCCGACTACGTTAGCCGCTATTCGCCGTTTTAACGGCATGCTCAACTATTATCGACGTTTTCTTCCACACTGTGCCAATTTGCTAAGTCCACTAACCGACCTACTTCGTGGACGTAAAAACGGCCAGGTGGAATTGACTGCTGCTGCTGCCGAAGCTTTCAAGGCCAGCAAAGAAGCCTTAGCTAAAGCCGTTATGCTTCATCACTTCGATCCGAACGCTCCGCTCAGTGTTGCTGTCGACGCATCGGACAGCGCCATTGGCGCCGTCCTACAGCAACATACAAATGGAGACTGGAAACCTCTTGCCTTCTACTCTAGACGCCTACAACCCGCCGAAGTCAAGTACAGCACGTTCAGTCGCGAACTGCTGGCCGTTTACTCTACAGTTCGACATTTCCGACACGTCCTCGAAGGTAACACCTTCATTATCTTCACCGATCACAAGCCGCTTATCTACGCATTCCGAAATCAATCAGCTCGACACTCACCACGTGAGATTCGTCAGCTGGATTTCATTGCTCAATTCTCGACTGATATCCGACACATTTCTGGCCAACAAAACGTCGTCGCTGATGCTCTTTCAAGAGTATCTGCGATTGGTCCTGCCGGGCAGGCAATCGATTTGTCTGCTATGGCCGCCGCGCAATCAAACGACCAAACTTTTTCGAAACTCCGCGATTCTTCTTTGAAGATATCCCCGCACCCTCTGCCGTCATCTGATGGTACCATTTTATGCGACACATCTACCGGACGACCTCGACCCGTCGTTCCAGAAACTTTTCGCCGTATCGTTTTCGACACCCTCCACAATATCGCCCACCCAGGCATTAAAGCTACTGCTAAGCTTGTCTCTGACAGATACGTTTGGCCGGGGATGCAACGCGATCTTACACGTTGGGCACGCAGCTGTCTCACCTGCCAGCAAGCCAAGATTCAGCGGCACGTGTCCGCTCCGCTTGGTCGCTTTCCGCCCGTTTCAGCGCGATTTGCCCATGTCCATCTCGACATAGTGGGACCACTGGCCCCGTCCAAAGGAATGGTCTATATTTTGACCATGATCGATCGTTGCACCCGTTGGCCCGAAGCCGTTCCCATCCCTGACGTTGCTGCGGAAACCGTAACACGCGCTTTTGTCGAGCGCTGGGTCGCTTCACACGGCTGTCCAGCCACAGTGACTACAGACCGCGGTCCGCAATTCGAATCGACGACCTTTAACGATCTCCTTAAACTCATTGGATGCCAACGCATTCGCACGACCGCCTATCATCCGCAAGCGAACGGCATGGTGGAACGTTTCCACCGACAGTTGAAAGCCTCACTTAGCGCCGCCAATGCGCTGAGTTGGACTGAGGTGCTGCCTATGGTCCTCCTTGGGATCCGATCAGCCCTAAAGGCCGATCTACGTACGTCTAGCGCTGAGTTAGTATATGGACAACCACTGCGTTTACCTGGCGATTTCTTCTCCGTTAGTCCCAGAATTACCCGTTACGACGCAAATTATGCACGTCAGCTTGCCACGAGCATGCGTCAGTACAAGCTTCCCGACGTTAGAGAACAACAACGTAAATCTTTTATTCCACAAGACCTGCAGCATTGTCCGTTCGTTTTTCTCCGCCTCGATGGTCTCCGCAGACCACTGGAGCGACCTTACGAAGGTCCTTTCAAGGTCCTGCAGCGTAAGGACCGCGTTTTTATCATCGACCGTCACGGTAAACGTGAAGCCGTTACGATTGACCGTCTCAAGGTTGCCCACGTGGAACCTGAGCTCGACGAAGACCCTTACTCGTCTTCTGACGAATCAACGCAGCCTATGATGGAAGACTCGACTGCTTCCAACATCCCTGACCCCAAGTATCACGCTCCATCCAAGCCTTCTACTTCAGCTCCGCCGCTTCCCATCGAACCAACTGCCACGTCTTCAGCAGTTCCTCCAATTTTGCGATCCGATAGGACGTCTAAGACCACGCCTTCCTCTGATTCGAACAAGTCGACTAGGTCGGGTAGACGCGTTCATTGGCCAGCTCGATTAAGGGATTAGCGTTCCTTTCACTTTTCTTATTGCTTTTCTTTTCCCTTTTGGCCAACAACGTACCAACCCCCCCAAAAGCTTTTGAAAACGCCAAAAAAAACCGACAAAAGTTTTTTTTGAAAACCCAAAAAGAACGCAAAATGTTTTGAAAACCCAAAAAAGAACAAAACGTTTTGAAAACACAAAAAGAGCTGCGTTTTGCCTGACGCCTACCTCATCCGGTAAGTGTCACTTTTGCTTTTGCCCTCGCCCCACCGTCACTGCTCTTGTTTCCGTTTATCTTCCATGTATGAACCGGAGGAGATGCCGAGGCTGAAGCGAACACTTGACCTTCACGAACTCGCGAACATTTGACGCTTACGAACTCCCCCCCATTTTGTGTTTTTGGCACCGTTAGGGAGGACACGGGTGGGAGCCCGCTAGGGTCCGATCGCCTGGTTCTCCCCCAGCAGCTGCATCAGGTTTCACTACCTGGTCTCGCAGAAGGCTGGCCCGCGACGGACAGTCCTCACGTAGATCGAAGGGTCACCCACGGTTTCCCTTCTAGGAGGGGGGCTGTGTAGCGACCTGGAGATTCCCCCGTATGACTGTGTAAACTATTCTAAAATACATTCAAATTATAGCTTTCTTATGTATTAGGGAACTAGGCGGTTTGCCTGTTGGAACGTTGTTCCCGTTTGTTGAAAACACGAACGCCATCTCCGCCTTTGGCGCGCGCGACTCGATTGCGAACGACGCTCTGTCAACGCACTCGACGCCATCGACATTCTCCCTAGCTAGCTCTCTCCGGGTGCCCTATTTTTAGCATTAGCTAACGCTCCTCCCGTCCAATAAACTTTTCCCTAGCTTACTGTTGTGTCTTCTATCCATTATTTTTGGTTGGCCGTCTAGTCGCGTACCGGATATATAGCGCACGATCAACGCGCTATACATGGTAGGCTTTGGAGCCAGCTAAAATATAAATGACACACGGACGGCCAAGAGAAGAAAAGTGGTGATGGAAAGTTTCTGGTGCTCCAGCCAGCCAGTGTGACAGGGGCCTCTCTGTCATTGGTTAGCTTTCGTGCCAGTGAAATGAAATCTGGAAATGCGAGTGTTTTACGAGCAAAAGCAGTTAAAGAAGAGGATCTGATTTTCATTATGCCTGTCTACTAGTGTTGCCAATAGCGAAAGGCACATGTATACCAGATAAAGCTAAGTATATGGGGTCAAGAGAGAGTAAGTGGAGAGCAAAATGTCTGCTTCTTGGGCCTAGAACTTTTAAAGTGCGCTCTTTTTCAACAATAAGAAAGATTATTTTTTTTTATTTTGCGGTTTAACTACTGGTAGTGTTTGGAAACTGCTGAGTATAGTAACTAGTGCTCAGACTTAATGAAAAAGCTTCAATTAGGGCCCGCTGGCAACCGACATCTAGGAAGACACATAAAGGTTCATTTAAAGCCGGCATTTAGACGATTTTGGACAATTATAATGCTACGCTTAGGTGCATCCGCAGCAGAAAACGTTTTCAACATTCTATGCAAGGCTTAGGTCTGGTAGCATGCCTTTACTAGGGGTACCATAGAGGTCATAAGCCTAATACGTTTTCCACGGATCCAGTGGTCAAGAAGTTGAAAGTGATAAAAGT